TAAAAAAAGTCTTATTTTGAGCCCCTCTTAAATTCAGGTCTGCAACCAGAAGCACGCTCGAGCGACAGACCTCTCGCTCGAGCGAAGAACAAACCAGACCGCTCGAGCCAAGAAAATCTCGCTCGAGCCAAGAAATACAACTCTCAGGTCCAGAACCAGATGCAAGCTCTCGCTCGAGCGAAGCCACTCTGGCTCGACCCACCAGACACGAACTCAACTCTCGCTCGAGCGACCAACTCCTCGCTCGAGCGAAGGTCTAAAAATCTGGGCAGCAACACTAGGCTCCCAAACACAACCAACCTGTAACAAACCTGCCCAACACATCCTATAACTCAATACACAAAGTAGAGAGGATGCAAACAAAATAATAAACAACTACCAACATCCACGGACACATGTCCGGATCACTGTTCAACAAGGGTAAACCCGGGATCGCTATATAACAATTCACTTTTAATATCCTCAAATTTATTTAAAATCTTATTTCTAGTAGTATTTCTTGAAAAACTTTGATATTGCGGTGCAAAACTTTCGTAAATCATTTGCACAAAATCAGGACATTCACTAGTAGTAAAAGGTTGTTCTTTTTAAATAGTATAATTAATTACATAATTTTATGCACATATAGGATTATATGAAAATGTTTGCAAATGATGACCAGTTGATGAAGCCCCTAATTGCATTTGATTTCTAATATTAGGTTGTTAACTTTGTAAATGTTTGTTAGCATACCTTCTTAGATGGCTAGTACCCCCTATAAATGCAACACTAAGTAAATATGCACAATATTTACATTTGCTTTAATTGTAATTGTACCATGAAGATTATTTACAAATATTTTTTTGAAATTATCTCAAGCACTACTAGTCGTGCCTTAGATGATAATACAGCTGTTGGAAAAGAGATATTAGGTACATTAGAAGAATCAACAGATTTATGTTGTTTAGTATATGCATCAATATCGACATAAACATTAGGAATATTAAGATCCATAGTAATATAAGTAAAATAATATATAAGAACTAACAATTAATTTAATTAATGAATAAACAATAACAACTAATATATGTTAAGAAATAATTAATGTAAAAAAAATGACTAACTAATAAAAAAAAAATTTCTTACACAATTACAATTGCAATTACCACTTAGGGATGAGATTTTAAAATTAATTGAGAGAGTTGAGAGTTGAAAGAATTTGAGAGAGAGAATTGTTTGCGAGAAATAAAATAGGAGAGGAGGGATGTTTATAGGAGTTTGGAAGGAGGGCGGTATTTTTTTTTTTGGGTGGGTAGAAGGAGGGGGGTCAATTTGTAAAAAAAGTCAATTTTTTTTGCCGTTGGAAGTTAACAGTTATTTGATTGTTTGAATATTATTATTATTTTTTTGAATTGATAGTTAGTGTGGTAGAGAGCCGTTGGGGGAGTGGGTTGTGGGTGGGCCAATAGCCTTCCCGGCAAAGTTTTTTTTGTGTCGGGTCACGCCAATGGACTGGGATGGGCCTCAAAATGACAGTCCAGGCCCAGGGTCCCGATTGGGCTAGAGTTCGAGCCTAATTGGGCCGGGCCCACCCTAGGCCGCTGTTGGACTTCGCGCCACCAACGGTCTACGGACCATTTTTACACCAGTAGCAGTAGCTTCTGGCTCTGTTACAACCGTCATCGTAAATATTAAACATTTGCAGGGAATTTCAAACGATAACTTTCACAAATTATTTTTATTTAGGGAAAATTACACTTTTGGTTACTTTCATATTTCAGCATTAATTTTTTTTTTCTTTCACTTTCACCCTTCATATTTCAAGTTTTTCTTAATTTACTCCTAAAGCTAACTTCTATTCAAAATTAGACAGAAAATGCCACAATAACTGTCACATGACATAAAAAATATATTATTATATTAGAATTTAGAGAGAAATTAGTCTAAGGTCCTTATCTCATTTTTAGTAATGGATAAGGTCCACAATATTATTTTGTGATGTCTAAGGTTCCTTAACCTTGACACCCATATATCACAGAGAAATTCTGGTTGTAATCTTTGTAGCAGTATCCTACAAAGGGGGATAATGGTTTTGAAAGTAGTTCTAGCCTTGAAGATTCAGTAGAGATCTTGAAATCTGAAGGATAAGAGGGCATTCTGAATAGAGCCTTTGAAGTCTGCCTCTGACAACACAAACAAAACCATGTAGTAGTAGTAGGGCAGACCTGCATGGAAGCAGCACACCGGAACAGTTTGTGGCTCAGACTAACTCCATCGCTGCAATTCACACCTTGGCAGAAAAGCATCTTCTGTAGATTCAAATGGAACAGATGCTGAACAATAGCTGCATTGCACTTCTGCTACAAATTGGTGTATGGAGTGGAGCCCGCTGTTGAAGAAAATACAGATTATAAGATTGTATTTAAGAATAAGAAAATAATGTGTGTCAGCAGGCAATATTCAATCAGATAACAAAGCCTGGCACTTCGAAAGTGCCGTGTTCTATAAGCACTTAAACATTCAAAAAAATTGTAGACCGTCATTACAACCATGTGTTTGACTTTGAAAGAACCATGCGTCTCACGGGAAAGGATTTCCTCTTGAAATTAGAAGAATATTACAAACACACTAAACTACGGAATGCTTCATCAAGCAGATATTGGATATTGACGATATGGTAGGAAGCCTTGAGTTACTGCTATCAAAATTGTTATAAGGCTCTAAAAGTAGGTACACAACTACTTATCCAAAGGTTGTAATAGTCTTGAGTCAGAATATACTTCTTGAGCTACCAGACAACCTTGAAAGTATTTACTTCTACCAAAAAAAATTTGTATAAAATGGTGAACTTTCAAAATAATGAACAATGTTTAATTCATATAATATAAACAAACAAAAAACACTAAAATGCCTCTCCACAATTATAGCAGATATAACTCCTTGTCGATGGAGGGGCATTTAAGCAATCAGGTGATACAAGTTTAGTGGAATCCCTGAGCCAGAATGTAATACAAACCAGATTTGGCTCTACAAGGAGCATACATCAAAAGATGCAAACAAAATTCTTCAAATGGTGGCACCAGATGAGAGTGGGGTAGACAAGAGAAAGAGAGGTGGCAGTAAGAAGGCCAGAGGATCATGAATTCCTCATGCTCAAGAGTGGCTCTCCTAGGTGCAATGAAGATCAGCCCATGAAAGTGAGCCCTCTGATATTACATAGTGCCCAACTGGGCTGAAGACAATGGATGATGAGACCTATGTCAAAAAAAGACTACTCAATCTGCCAACCTGCAGTCCTATGTTGTTGGGCCAACAGGATTGGACCAGGCATGTCATTAACAGATGATTCATCATAACGTAGATCATTATTAAGATTGGTATAGGATGATTTTCACTTTCATTGTCCATGGAGATGTCTGTTTTCAATATATAGTTCTATCAAAAGGACAGATCTGAAATCATCAGATTATACAAAAAGCAGAACAACATCATTCCATTACACTGGACATCTAAATATTAGCCAAGAAATTGTTATCAGAGTCATCTCTCTTAAACTTCCATTTTGCAACCTTTGTAAATCAATCCTAGCAATATAACTCTTTAGAAAGGTTTAAACTTGAAACGGGAGAAACAACAAGTTCTAAAGGTTAATAAAATAAATAAATAAAACTAGAATGTTCAGATGAAAGAGTGGTAATGCAACAAAAAATTGAATTATAGGTGAAACAGTTGTGGAAAGAAGCAACAAAGTATGCTGGGGTATGTTCATGGAAAATGTGTTCGCCAGTGAGGAGAAAATATTTGATTCAAATGACAAGAAGAAGAACCAGGCTAATTGAAAATATGGTCTTGGTAAAGCTAAGCAGCAGAAAGGGTTGTGAAGCAATGAACTGTTGTAGTAAGGCTTTCTTACAATTGAGTTTTCTCTTTCTCTTTTTTTATCTGTGAACTCATACTTCTCTGTCCTTTTGAGAATGTCTAATTTTCCTAAACATCCAAAAGATAGCTACAAGGAACTTTGGAAAACTCAATGGTGCCAAGGTTTATGTACTAGGATTTGAGGCATGATAAGGATTATAAGCACTTGCTTGTCAAGCTGATCAAAGTTTGTGGAAGAAGCAGAAAGAAAAAGATAAACCTCAAAAGCCTATGCTTGCACTGGTTTGATGCTCAGATAAGAATATACCTTAATTTCTGTAAATCAGCACTAAAGCACCTAAAAGGAACAACGATATATGTAAAAATGAGATGAATGTTTTGAGAGGAATCATGCTTTAATTAAGACATGACTTTGAGGCTAGAGCAATTAACAAATCTTTCCTTCAAATAACAGCAAATCTCAATACTAGAATCATCACGATGACCTTGAACAAGAATATGACAATCAAATCAAATGCCTAATTCCAAAAAAGTAAGAACAGAACGTGTAGCTTTCAATTCTCTGGCCCCATGAAAATCCAAATCCCATCATATGCTGAGTGTTAAAACAACTACTAACAATACGATCATCATCATCATCATTAGGCAAATAAAGTCATCATCATTAGGCAAAAAGATTGATCAACAAGAAGAAACTTACAATATGATCACGTGCACCATATGGGCCAATTTTATCAGATTTGCTGGTAGTGGTAGATATGTCACAAATCAACACATCAAAAGACCTGGATCCTTTGCCAATAGCTAAATGCATTTCCTGTGGGGACTATATGGGCACAATAAGAGAAACCAAGGAGACGGGGACCGAATCAACAGTTACAACCTATTTAAAAGTATAAATAGCAAAATGAAAAAATTAATTAATTAATTCCCTCATACTATGATATATGAACAAATGAGATACAAATTTATATAAAATATCGACCTCCTTCAAAAGAGAAAACGGAGTATGATTAACTTTGGAAGACTTCAACAATTCCCCACTATATCCCAGCCAGATCTTCACACTGGGAAGAACAAAAAAAGAAGAAACAAACTAAGCATTTTTGGTTAAAAAAAAAAAAACTAAGCATGCTAAAAATGTTGAAAATTAATCTCCTAATCTAATGGGTTCTGAAAACTTTCTTTGACCACAGGAGCAAGATAAGCAGCTTCATTACTACAGACATTGAAAAGATAAGCAATTACATCTGGATTATTATTCCAGCTGAAGCACCATTCTCCAACCCATCAATAACATTTTTATTTTCAAAATAAACATAAATGTAATGCAGCTGTGATCTTATATATGATACCCCACCAGATTCACCTTGGTCAAACACCTTAAAAATTGATAGCCATACACCATTTCCCTCTTATTAAAAAAAAACACACTATAATCTTCAAGAAGAGTAACAGATTTGCCAAATCATTTTCACGAAGAAAAAAACCAATGGACAAATAGAAAATTAATTAACATATTGACACTGGTCAAACAACTTCAAAAACAGATTGCCACATTGTTTTCCTCTGGTTTAAAAAATAAAAATAAAAAATACGAAGAATAACAAATCCACCAAATCAGTTTCTCCAGGAAAGAAGCCAAAGAACAACATTAAAGACCAATAATAGACATCAATAGACTTGTAACTAAACCAAAGAAAGATTAGGAAAATATACCTCTAATCTTTTGGTCACCAACAAACTCACACAACCCTTCAAAAAGATATCTAAAAATACCAGTGAGATTTCCAAATTTACAAGCCATAATTCGCCAAAAAGAAACTAAACTATTACGATACGAATGTGAATCGAACAAATCTCGTTTTGAAGAACACATGTCCTTTGAAGGAGCCAGGCTACCAGATAGCTTAGCTGGAAAAAATCACTTGGTAATCACACTGGAGACCTTTGATCAAAGCCTACTTCCATCTAGATTTGTGGGTTTTATGGCAGAGGAGCAACCCCCCACCCCCCTCATTGCCATTAGGCCCAAAAAATATCAAGAAAAAAGATAATAATAATAATAAAGAGTGCAGGTTCCACATTTAGGAACTGAAAGAAGTCCTAAATGAATAAGACATGTTTGTAAGATGTTAAAATTTCATGTTTTTTAAGATCATATCCAAGACCAGAATAAAAAATCCTAAAGTTACATACTGTACCCAAAAAGATATCTAAAACTGAATTAATTAACCAAGTAAAAGAAAAGCAAACTTTTCTTAGAAGACTATGCACATAAATAGTGTTAATTACATCCAGATCAACCATAAAACATAATGAATTTGTAAATACGTTGCTAGAGGATCCAGGGGAGCATCTCCCATGGCTTCAAAGTTAACGAATTTATTAGCAAACGAAATCTAAGAATTAATTGATGTACCTGAGATAAAGAGCAAGAAAGATCGATCTGGTTCAAGAATGATAATGATCTGATCTGATCTAATCTGACAATGAAAAAAATAGAGAGTTAATCAGCAGATTTGACAATGAGAAAGTAGAGAAAACGATAGTTCACACTCGTACACCGATTAAGAGAATGAAAAATGTACCTGAGATAAGGGCAAGAGAGATTGATTTGGTTCAAGAACAGATTGATTTTGGATCTGCAATTTGATGAAGAACAAATCGAGTTCGAGTTCGAGTTCAATGAAGAACAGCTAAAGCAAAGCCTCGAGCGACAGAGATCGATGAAGAACAGCTAGAGAGTTAGATTGTGAGAGATAAGAGTGGTGTGTGGGAGAGAGATCTGTGAGAGGGACTGCAATTGAGCGAGCGAGAGTCAGTTTGTTTGAGAATGAGAGTGAAAGTGACAGTGACAGTGACAGTGAGAGCGAGAGCTACATGTCACGGCCTGGGCGGTTGTCATCCTCCCGAGAAGCCGACTCTACGAGTGGTACTGCGTACCCTTGTGCATTATGCCCAAGGACCAATTCAGGAGATGCGATAGGGATCTACCCTGCCTGCCTTGCCACTCACAAACTAATGCGCTTGCAAGGTGCTTGGTGTAGAACTCGCATCCCCAATGAGGTGGTACGTGACATGCTACCACCGCTAGTCCCTGACACCCTCGTCAGGGGGACATTACCCTGCCTACTTCCATGCTTGTCCGTTCCCCTATCCAAGGGAAACCCGCCCCGCGCAGACACCACCCTCGGTGTGGACGCCATAATGGAGGTGCTTGGTGTAAGTCCTATGTACCGTCCCCATCACAGTGCCCCTAGGCTGGCTCTGATACCACTTGTCACGGCCGGGGCGCTTGTCATCCTCCCGAGAAACCGGCTCCACAAGTGGTACTACGTACCCCCGTGCATTATACCTAAGGACCAACCCAGGAGATGCAATAGGGATCTACCCTGCCTGCCTTGCCACTCACAAACTAATGCGCTTGCAAGGTGCTTGGTGTAGAACTCACACCCCCAATGAGTCGGTACGTGACATACAACTTCAAATCAAGGGTTTTGGACTGAGTTGTGGAAAAGATAGAGAAAGTGAGAGACATTTTGAAAGAGACAGAGCTTTGGACGGTCAATCAATTGACCTAATACGACACCGTTTAACTGAGATGAGAGAAAAAGGTTTCTTCAAAACGTTGTGTTTAATTAATCTATAATGGTGTTTCATAAACGCCACAAAAGAAATGCTGCAATACACCCTTTTTCCGGTAGTGTGTTTTCAGAAAAGTACCAAAGCTGTGTTATCTGAAACACCTTGTCTGGATGATTGTGATTTGGTTGTTTTGGGTCATTGCATTAAAAGATATGAATTTGTATGTTAAAATTTACAGTTTGGATTAGTGATGATTGCACTTTAGATATTATTTCATAATTTATCTCACAATTTAAGTAAAATGATTTGACATTTTGTTTGGTTCCTAGGGAAAATGTGCAAGTATGGATAAACAAAAAATTTCGAAAGAGAACTTGGGCTTCGAAAAAATTATTATTTTTTGACGTAATTGCTCTTCATGATTTGGATATTTATTTTCTTTTGTTAGGGTTTGCCCTATTTTTCTTGGCAATCAAACAAACTTTATGCTTTATGATTCACTTGAAATCCAGAGAAAAACCAGAGAATTTCTCTGGAAATTCAAAGAAAATCTCTAGACTGGAATCTAGAGAAATTCTCTGAGAAGTCTAGAGAAATTCTCTGGGAAGGTTAACTTTTGCTTTTTTGTGTGCATTGTGTGTTGAAATTGCTGGAATTGGGAAATTTGACGCAAGTATAGTTTTTGTGCTTGTTTGTAATTGTGGATAGTTTTAATTAATTTTGTAGTTTAGATTGCTAAGTGGCAAGCTATGATCAACAATGAGAATACCTCTTTTCTCATTCTCTCTCCTCTTCTTCTCTCTCTCTCTCTCTCTCTCTCTCTCTCTCTCTCTTATCAGGGAAAATTTCTCTAGTTTGGTTAAAACAATTTTCTCTGGTTTAAAATTGTGAACAAACACAGAGAAATTTGTACTAGAATTTCTCTAGATTGGTTAAAATAATTTTCTTTGGTGATCTTATATATCTTGACATATGCACGTTAAGTATTTCTATAAATGTTTACTTTTCTGATTAGTTAGTATTGTTTTCATTGATTTTAAAGTAGCTCCTTTTGGTTTGTAAATGATCTTATGTAATAGTAATCTGCTTGGTGATCTATATGGAATGATAAACAAGTATTAGAATGAAACTGAATTTTGATTTGGATTGTTCATAGAAGTGAATTTCACCTAATTTACGTACTAAAGAGAGTAATTTTCTCGGGCTGGTGATGATAAGGTATTAGAGCTTGAGATTGTGAAGAATTTTGAGAAAGAAGTGTTTTTCTCTGGGAAATCCAGAATTTCTCTAGAGAGTAGGAAATCCAGAGAAATTTCTAGAAATTTTCTGGAGTGGGAAGTCCAGAAAAATTCTCTGAATCGAATTTTCTTAGGATCGATGTTGAGGGACCTTAAGCATTATGAAACTATTAGATGTCATTCATCCTATAAAATCTTAATACTAGGGATCCTAAAAAAAAATCCCCTAGAATTTAAGTTTGTGTTAGAGGTGTGAGTCATATATAATAAAATATTTTTATACTACATGACTGTCAACGTATCAGTTTTTGTCTAATTTTTAACAAAAATTAACTTTAAGAGTAAAGCGGAAAAAACATAAAGGGCCATAGTGAGAAAAAAATAAATTTTAAGGGCCAAAGTGAGAAAGTGACTAAACATAAAGGGAGCAAAGTGTAATTTACACTTTTATTTATTGATGTGATATTTATTATATCATTATTATTAATTGATTTTAAATATTTGTATTCTATCATTAGTAAAAAGATACTACAATGATTTGTTTTGATTTTTAACATATGATTAACTAAATATATTGGTGAGAAGTTCAAATCATTATATAATTTTTTTTATTTTTATTTTTTTATCCTTGTACTTTTTTTTAAATTTTTATTTTTTTCTCTATTCTCACATATTAATATGAATCGCCTCTCATTATCACTACCAGTGTCAGAAAAGTCGCCAATTTGCTGATGTTGAAAAAGTCATCAGTGGCAACCACGAACAAACAAGTGGACAAATAAACAGATAAATAAATTATTATTCTTTTTGTAGACAAAAAAGAACAAAATTTGTGACAATTATCTCAAAAATTTTAAATTTAGAGTTATAGGCCCAGTGCCTTGAAATGAAAACAAAAGTTGTAGTGAACATTAAGTACAAACTCCCAAAATAGAATAAAAAAAACATTATAAGCACCCATAAATTATAGAAGAAATATAATTTTTTATTCTAAATTTTCACTCAGTTTTCAATTTGACCTTAGACTTCATATAATATCAATTTATCCCCTACACTTTTGAAATTTTGATCAATTTGGCTCCCACCGTTACATTCCGTCTACAATCAAATGTGACTTGCTGACGTGGCACCAAATCTCATTTGGAACTTCATTTTACCCCAAAACTATATCTTAAAAATCAATTAACCCCTAAATATTAAAAAAAATGTTTAATATTTAATTAATAATTTTTTATCTCAAAAATGAAAATTGTAAATAAAAAAATTTGTTGAGTATTCTTTAAACAATAATTGAATTTTAAATTTTTTGTCTCACTCAATTTTAAAATTACTATTATTCGATCAACTCTATTAAAATTAATTTGGAGAATAAACTAGTTACAATTGCATGCCCGCACACACATAAAGTAACCAAGAAATTTTTGGCTCAATAAGTTTCTCGAAGATCTACTGGAGATAATTTAAGACCTATGAAGCACATGTATGGGTATGAGTAT